CGTGATAAAATAACAAAAGGCTTGCTCTGACCACTGCTGGCAGAAGACCTATATTGAGTTCCCTCTAAGACATTCTAATGAAGCAACATTCAATATACTGTGTATTTGGTTACATTTTACAAAGACATGCAAATGATATTACTTTGTTCTCCATGTAAGCATCCTGAAAAATGTACGTGGTTCACCAATGTACGCGCCTGTCAGCTTCATTAAGATATGTTCTAGTTTCATTGTAGTTTTGAATGTCTCGGTAAAATAAATATGTGTTTTTTTATGAAAGCAACACAGCTCTGGACTGTGCTGTGCAGATGGCCAATGAGGGTTCAAAGCACGTCATTACCTGATAGCGTGTGGATGGAATACTCGAAAGATTAAGCACGTCATCGGTACATTCCAAAGCGCGTATATATCCGATGTCAAATCTCAGGGCAGATCCTGTCCGGATACATACACTTTGACGTCGGTCTTCCTGCACCTAAAAAACAGGGGCCACGCATGGCCAGATGAAACGACGAGACGTGGCGATAGAGTCGGGATGTCGCTGCTGTCGGGAGCGTTGCATTTGAAAAGTTGTCAACAGATCTGCCCGAGAGAGAGAGGGCTGCAGGGCGACTATCAGGGGTTGCATCGGTATTGGGGTGCTATTCTCAGTGGGGAGTGGGGGGGGTTAGAGTGTGAAAGGCCAAACGTTACAAGAAGTAAAGTCTGCTCTCTTCTTCTAGCGTATGGCAAGTCTGTACAAATCACGCATCCAAGTGTAAGTCTGCCAGCCATGCGATATGTTCGCGAGTAGTGCCACTCATACTTTGCCGGAGAGCAGGTGTAGGATGCAGTTGTAGTTGCGTTCCGGAAGAACACCGGGTTATGGAAAATTCGCGTTACAATGAATAACATATAATGTAGGGTAAAGCACAGTGCGAGATAGCATGCTAGATGCGTACGCAAGATGAACAAAGACTGAGGCACGTGGGTAGAATCTAGAAGCATCCAGCAGCATTCCAATTCTTTGTGCGATGCTAGGCATGCGTGCAAACGCTTATTCCTACTCACGCGACGCAGTTCCATTCACTCGATCGCGTTATATCCAATTCACATCCGCGTTATAAAGAATGTGTTCCCTAATACATGAATCGCGTTCTATCTAATTTGCATTATGGAAGCATGCTGTATAGAAGAACAGAATGTTTCTGCCACCGATTTTATTTCTGACATAATTCCATATTGCATCTGCACATGTGTAGTGACACTCGACACAGTGGTCTTCAATAATAAGAGTCTTTATTTCTTCAGGTACGAGACACGGGTCTTCAAGGATTCCCTTCACTCCAAGCTTCTCCTCCTGAAACATCCCTCAAGCCCCTTTTCCCGAAGGTTCCTTGACCCACTTTCCCTCCAGCCAATCACCTTCTCACTTTCCCTAACCGATCCCAACCGACCTCCCTGTCAATCATCCTCCGTTTCCCGCTCTTTCCATGTTTTGTATAGCTACCTCGAATGCCCATCAATGTCCCTGCCTCTAACCAATCCCCTTTCAGGCACCGTCAAGTAACCAATCAGAGGGGCTTGTTTTTACTTTATAATTATCCGTGTCACGTGGTGTCCATCACGCCAGTGAGTATCGTTGGTCGTGACACAATCTTTCCACGTGTTTGAGTGGGACTAAAGCATGCACTAAAGTAATTGTGCATTTTTTTGATTTAAAGCTTTCGTGACTGCAGTAATTCATATTCTTAGTTTTTTCGGTAAAGTCACGTTGAAGGGAAACAACAAAATAATAAAATATATATTTTAATTTTTTATTTTTTATATATATTTTATTGTTTTGTTGTTTCCCTTCAACGTGACTTTACCAAAAAAACTAAGAATATAATTGTGCATTCTTATATGGCTCCTACCCGGTCAGAGAAGGGACTGCCCGGTTCGTCCACTAGGGGCGTTGGGGAGTTGAAGATGGGAAATTATTTTTCCAGTAAAAAAATACTTTCCTGTAAATTGTTTTGTTGTTTCATTTTTTTTAATATTGAGATTATTTAAACATTTTAAGTCGTTCATATTCGAAACCGCTGCAACACCACAGTCTGATTTGTGCCTCGGGGAAGTCTCGGGGGGGGGGGGGGGGGGGTGGCTGTGAAGGCGTCCGAGTGAGAGATTTCCCTTAATTCGTGGCGATGAGCAGCTTCGAGCATTGTAGCCACGCCGTTTGAGATCCATTCAGGACGGTGAAGAAGGCGGCCGTGGCTGTGATGAGAGGCGACCTCACGACGCGAGGGTGCACTGTGAATAATGAGCAGCTCACGGCTTCTGTCGTCATCAAAGGATTTGAAGTTTTCGCGACTGCAGGGATCCATACTCGTTGGTTCTTTCGGTAAAGTCACGTGGTAGGTATAAAATGAAAGAAATTAAATCACGACGTTTCGATTGCAACACAAGCAAACATCATCAGGTGGGAAAACCACAGCAAGAAATTTCTTTTTTTTTTTGCTGAAGTGTGAGTGCAAACATTTTTTTTGCTGTGGTTTTCCCCACCTGATGATGCTTGCTTGTATTGCAATCGAAACGTCGTGATTTTTTAAATTTCATTTTATACCTACGTGCCTTTACCGAAAGAACCAAAGAGTATCATCAAAGGAGTTGTGCAGTGTGGACTTGAGGGTCATGGGGACAGCATTTGAGTGCTTTGTTATTTTGTTCCGTATTATTTATAAACGCCTCACCGTTGGTTGACAACACAGTTATATCACTTTCACGGGAAGGCCAATAGCACGACGAGGTTTTCCTTAATTAGAACACCGTCTTATCAGAGGTCACTCACAACAGCCCCACCACTGCGTCCAAAGATTAAAAAATGAACGAAAAAAAATCTTACCTGTTTAGCTCGGTATTTACACGTGAATTTTAAATTAGTTTTACAAATTTATGGTTGTAAAATGACTTGATAATTTTCAACGCACGGTTTCAAAGTTTTAACGGAGGATCATGTACGTACGGGAGCTTTTGGTTTTAATGAAGGCGCCTTCAAAGAAATAAAGTTTGATTGACGCATTGATGAGAACATTGGCTTCAATTGAGGCCTGGGCAAAGTTTCTCCCTTTGACAATAGTGACAGGGGATGGGAAGGTATGTGTTGAATGCTAAGTAACTATTATTACGTAAGAATGTAATTGTGGGAGCAGTGGCACAGTGGTTAGGACACTGTGTTATAAACCCAGCGACCCGAATTAGATTTCCGGGCATGGCTAACATCATTGGCGGAGTGATATCTGAATCAACCTTGGGCTTGCCCTTCACCAACCCACACGAATGACATGGTGAAGTATGGTCAAACAACCTCATTAACCGGCACAACAGACCTCATTCTGCGGTGGATTGACAAAGGGTAGTAAATTATTGCTATGATTCGTTATTTAGAGGGACGCGGGGCTGAGTTTACGCCTGACTGGGATTTGAATTTGCATCCTGATTGTCAGTGGCATGCTCTAACTGCGTCACCATCTGGCCAGATTTCCATACGTAGTTGCAGAGGGAAATTATAACCCCATTGCAGCATTGATTTATATGTAGATTTCCAAATGCACAGGCTCAAAGGGTAAAGGTAGGGGGCATGGGGTTTTGCACTTCCTCCTACACGGGCACTTACAAAGCAGATAGCTAATTCACCTCTAAATTCCGCTCTGTATCTCCCTTGCTATCACTCCCATTACCTTGCTTTATAGCATCACTCTCATCTCATTCCAGTCTCACCAGGTCTACTTCACGTCCCAGAATCCAAATTCAGTTTCCCACCTGTTGTCTGCTCGTCATTATGCTGGAACTTTTGTTTTCATATTCTTGATTCTTTCGGTAAAGTCACGTAGAAGGGAATTTTATTGTTTTTTATATATTTTTTATTATTTTATTGTTTCACTTCTACGTGACTTTACCGAAAGAACTAAGAATATGAATCCCTGCAGTCACGAAAGCTTTAAATCAAAATTTTGTTTTCTTATTTAGTCCAACTCCTGCCTCGGGTTTTGCCCCCTGTGCTGTGTTTTGTTTCCAAGACGAACTCTTTAGTTTTTTTTTTCCAGGTGGGTTGTCCATAGAAAATCCTGCAAAGTCTCCAAGGGACATTAAAAGTCCCGGGTATTGTCAGCTGTGTATTAACGTTTCGTTAACTCACCACCACCACCACCCCGACGCAACCAATTAGTGTGGGTTTCTCACGTCAAACAACAAAATGCGCCAATCAGTTATTAGTTCAGGACACAGGTGTAGAGTAAATCCACAACATTTACAACCGGCGGAAGCGAGGTAGCGACTTCAAATTGCGGTCACGGTGGGGATGGCGCTGCCCATTGTGCCTCCAGGCTCCCACAGCCCTGCTGGCAGAAGAGCCTGTACGGAAAGCCTCCTCCAGAGGGCATTTTGGCTGAATCTCCCACGCTGGCCAGGCGTCTTGGAAAAGGTGGCAATGCCTCTATTTTACCCAATCATATGCGACCTGACTAACTGCGGAATAACCCATTTAAGCTAAACATTTTTTTTAAATAGAAACTAAACAATGTTTTATTTTACCAGGTAAGGCCCCACTGAGCTATACGCTATTTTTAAGAAGCGACCTGGCCACAAATGATAGCTAAACGAAGTGGCTTATCACACGTGGACATTTAAAGCAGCCAAACACCATACTCTAAACGCTTATTTCAAAACGTGGAGGGAAAAGTCAGAGGACCTGGAGCAAAACCTACGCGGCAAACTCCAAATATACAGGCGTTAGGGCCGGGATTGAACCAACGACTTCTCGTATATCACGCGAGGTAGTTAACATCTCATCACCGCTGGAAGCATTTTACACTGCAGAGGTGGAGAGAAACTTGGCCATCTTCTTTAACTGCAGAATCAGAAGATCCGGTCGGGAACTCTGGATTGTAAGTCCAGCGTTTTATAATCAACACACCACCGGGGCAGCATCCAATTAAAACATTTGCGAATCACAAAACATATAAATTACACTGAAATCATTTGAAATTTCACACGCTTTATTGTGTATTCACATTGCCAAGTTCAACAGTCCATGTTTAGTGCACAAGGCTACATATGTCAAAATGTTCTAACATTTTGCTCAACAGCAAACCCATCCGTGTATGTATGCATAAGCAGACCTTTGCCGACAATACTCTTTGGTTCTATTGGGTAAAGTCACGTATTCATCCGGTTTTTTTGCGATGCGCCCAACAATTAAACGTCTAACTTTTAAGATGAACGGTTTATTCACGCTCTCAGTGCGCCTTGTCGGCGCAGGGCCTTGCCAAGGCTGTTGGGTATGAAATAAAAGGCCTGGTATTCACACAACACAATCGTTTGCCGTGAGGAAAATTGTCCGAATGAATACTGTCATTGTCTTAACCGTGAAATAAATTAAAATATTTGTCAATTGTAAAATATACTTTATATTCAACAGCAAAACATCTCTACTTTGTATAACACAAAAAATAAAGGGATGGGGAGGGGGGGGGGAAACTTCAAATAAAGCTCAATTTTAATTTAAAAGCAAGGCTAAAGAAGATAATTAACAGCTGGGAATTTCAGCAAAAAAAACTATTAACTACCTGGTCGTAACAAAACATTCCTCGATTAAAGTTTTTGTTAGAGTTGTTATAGAAACGCTGATTGGCAGGCGTAGGGATTAGTAATGAGTGGTTCATCAGAAGCAAGGCATGCGTGGAGAACACAAATGCCACAGCGTTACATTCGCTCGCAAAAATAAAAGACACCAACAATTGGCGGACAGAAATTAAGTGACAGTGACGAGTAAGCTTTTGATATTCAGACATATCAGCAGCTGCAAATCCACCCCCAGAATAGCATATCACACATACACACATACAAACATGCACCGGATATTTGTCACGGAATAACAAGTCCATCGTTTGTAGTAATTCACCAACAATTTGCCTGAGGAATATCACAGTAGTTCCAAAACAGTATGCTATGACAAACTGAATCAATGTTCTTGTTTAATCAAAAGTACGAAGTCTCTCAGACAACGGCATAGGTTGGCTAAAATCGAGACGAAGTAGCCTCGTTGCAATTCATGGCAGATTGTCAAGCCACTGCTGGATGTTTGGTTCCCGGCCCCCCCCCCTCCCAATTCTGTGTTGACCATACTTCACCATGCTGGCTAGTACATGCTAGTGAAGGGGGAAGTGTTCGGGACTCAGGTCACTGGGTTACATTTCGCGCAATGTGCTAACCACTGCGCCACCGCTACTCAAAGAACCCAGACCGGCATGTTGAAAGTAATTAGCTCGTGAAAATAAAATGTCAAACCTGACGATTGACTTAGCTTTGCAACACCTACAAAAGTAAGAGGGCATCTTTGGATAACTACACACATTCCCGTGCAGCTCTTTCATTATTCACAGGACTAAGGCCGATCAAGGGACGTTGTCATTCTGGTTCATGTCGATGCAGTAGTCATTATTGGCTAATTTCTTTAGAGCTTAAAAAAAATCACATCAGAGAGCTATACAGCACAAACATTAAAACCTATGCAGTAGTATTGTTTAGTTAAGGGCATTTAAAATAACCGCATTTTGGTTTGACAAATCTAATCATCATCAAAAAATGCCCCCGTGCAGAACTGGAGGTAAGGATAGGTCTGTTTTTAAATCCAACCTTTTAAAGAAAATTTTAAATCGTGTTTTGCATTAAATTGAGACTGTGAAATAATTATAAATTCAAATAAAATGTTGACGATCTCAACGTTTAAATATATAAAAGACTCGTAATTCTAAAAACGTTTACCATAAAAAAAATTACGAGAGCGGGTAGAGGTTAATGAAAATTAGTTTGAAAAGAAGCACATTTTTTAGCATTTAAAAAATAAAGTTGAAATATACTTTTCAGTAAAAATGCATTTGGCACGGACGAACATTCATATACCCACTCAAAAACTATGTGCACCAAGCAATATCCAATCTCGGTTTTTTTTCCTTCCACAAAATAATTTGTTAGAGAAACAATTTTCATGTTTTTAAGCGTTGCATTATTTATCAAAAGTGTTGCGCGCGGACTGGCAAGGAAGTTGTGAATAAGCTTTCGTAACGCCCCGGAAGAGTTTTACAGCGCAATGTATTGTTATATATCGTCAACAAAGACAATTCGTGTCAGCAATTGAACAGAGGTGACCGGGTTCTTCCTGATGTTAGAGAAGCAGAAACATTGAGGGTTTCCCAGCTTCAACGCCAGACGAGGTGGCGTAGATCTCGTACAATTGTCTCTATCCGTCAACCGTAGACCAAAATTGCGGTAAATCTCATTTACCATGCCAAAACAAACATCCACACCACAGTGGCAGCGCCACAACGCGTCGCGTCTCGGTCAATGTTCCATTGGGCTGAGATTTGCTCAACCGCAGCCCTCCTTTTTGTTTATAAATGCGAGTGCGTTCGTTCCCAACGCGGACGACGATCGATGGGCAGATGGAGCGCGCGACACTGACTGGCAACACCCGCTGGCCTGATCACAAACGCGCCTCGGCATTCGAGAGCCCTCGTCTCTCGCTCGCTCTCTCTCTCCGTCTTTCGCGCGGTGTTTTTTTGAAAAGCTTTGAAAAGCAACCGGCCAATGCATTTTTGGTTGGCAATCGCTTCGATCGGTGGCATCGGGAGTCGCTCTTGTGGCGTCCTGTAACCCTCCCTGCGTGCAAGCGCTTCCACGTGGGCAAGTGGTCGGTCACGTGGTCAATGGGTTTCGCCGTCACATTCGCAATAGGGCGACTTTCATTATTAATTTTGAGTCCCCCGAGTAGATTTTGTTATTGGCTTGTTAACGCTCCACTTGGCATGGAGGATAAAGAAGAAAAAAAGCACTGGTCATTCCTTTAAAACATGTACCAGATGCCTACAGATGTCCGTGTGCATGTTCACACTTCTTTTGCGCCGTACGTACTCAACCGTGCTGATCGGTAGGCAGCTAACACGGCGATCATGTATTTAGCAAGTTAGCAGCTGGGATATTAAGAACAGTCCTTGGGAGCAAGCCGGCTCAGCGGCAGGGCGAACGGCTCACAATCAGAATGTTGAGTCAGAATCCTGGTCGGGTGATCATTCAGCCCATCATCCCTACAGGGTTCATAAAATGAGGTAACCACCTTTTGGTGAAGCCAACAGCCATCATCCTATAGGTAAGACTCACCCCTGCACTAGTAATGTCGATTTCCCACCACCGACTCAGCACTGTAAATAGGAGGTTGAGCGCTGACTTAATTGCTCACACGAGCAGGAAATCACTTTTCACTTTGAATAGGCAGCGGAGTCCAGGTGTACTTATAACCGAAGTGTACTTGTATTCAGAAGTTGCCCTTTGCCTTTCCCACACCAGTGTAATCTACGGATAGCTTCCTTATATCAGAACCGTGTTTTGCACGTTGGAGGTAATGGTAGAGAAGCCTTGCATTGGTTGGTTTGCTTGCACACCTGCTGGCTTCGAAGGGCCTCCACTAGACGTGGCTCTGCAGAGCTCCCCGAGCCAGATGTATGTGCAAGAGGTGGCAGGGCTTTGATATATTCGGTGTGCTTATATGCAGCTTTTGGCCGTCTTGCAAACATAGCGACTTGGTAACACTGCAGGCGACCTTGTTGACATGAACGGGTGCAGGGTGTGCGTCACGTTAACCATCGGGTCGGATGATTGACCCACGGTTTTGGTAGGCTGTGAGTTCAAATCCATGTGCGAGGTAAATTCAACCCATCATCCGTATTCCTCCATGATTGATCAATCAAAAACCATGTTATGGGATCTTAACACGTTAACATTTGTATAGGTGCAGCCTTCACTTACATGTACACGTATGTGCAAACACACATGGATTATGCTCATATATATTCAGTTTTTGAATGCAAAATTACGCTTAGTAATAATTGTCACATGTCCGACGCCTTTTCTGGGTGCACCGCGCATTGCTCGGCACGACGTCCGACGTTTTGCTCCACGTGCCTGCGGGGGGGGGGGGGGGGGTGGGGGCTAAAAATAAAAATTCAGTTCCTGGAGAAGCTCCCTGCGCGTGGAGCGAAACGTCGGACATCGTGCCGAGCAACACGCGGTACGAACCGAAGAAGCATCGGAGAGGACGCGGTACGTCCGTGAATAAACCTACGGAGTCGTGTTCTTCATTTTTGTCTTTTCGCACAACATTAAAGTTGAGGGCGCCTCCAGGGTTTGGGGGGGGGTGAGGGGTGAGGGGTTGGGGGGGGCCAAACACCACAAGGGTAACACTGCTTTCAACCGTGCTTCTTCGAAGAGCCTTGTTTGCATTGCACGAAGGCAGAGAGAGAGAGAGCGATAAAAGGATAGAAAAAAAAATAATGAAAAGATGGAAATCCCTGGGATTTTCGGCTCATCCGAGCAGATCTTCGTACTGCTTGCGGAAACAATCGCCGACGGGGAAAAACTCCCAGCATCTCTCCTGGTACTTCTTCCAAACGTACGATTCCTGCCACAAACGACATGCGCACAACGCGACAATGCGGTGTGACATTTGGAGAAAGTGACTTCGATTTCTAATTACACTATTTTAGCACAATTTTTTGTTCCTGGGTAGTCAGTGGTGTTTTCTAATTGTTTACGCCTAAAAAGTCTAGAAACTGGCTATTGTTCCCCACATACTTTGCTTTTGTGACCAGGTCTTTACGCGAACGAAAGACGCAAATGCACACCACGTTTTCTCATTGAAAATAGGTAAATTTCAAAATATCATGGTCCTGGTCACAAAAGCAAAGTTTGTGGTGAATAATAGCCGTGTTCTGTACTTTTGAGGCATAAGCAATTAGGAAATAACACTTACTACCCAGGAACAATTTGTTTTATTACGCAATGTTATTCTTTCCCCCCCCCCACCCCCGCCAGCTACCAACCTTTTTTCCCTTCTCACTTTTGTTCCTCTTCCCCGTTGCCTTCCCTTCAACTTATAAAATAAAAAAGTCCGTGTCCCTCTACGACAGTGGAGTGGGCGAGCCCGTTCCTCTCCCCGGCCCTCCAAGCCGTGCGAGCGCTGCGTTTCGGGCTTCTGCTACCCCCCCCCCCAACACATTTTCTGTGCCCCCCCCTCCCCCCTTTCCATTTTTACTGCTCGCGCGTCGGGGGGGGGGGGGGGGCTCTTGTCATAAATATAAAAAAATCATAAAAAATAAGAATTCTTGTATGAAAAATAAGAAGAGGTTTTACCAATTCTGGCACTAAAACAGCGGGTGGCAAGATGTTCAAACACCAAATAGAAAACTTTTGCAAGGAATCAAGTCTGCATTCACCACACGTACTTGGGGTAAAGCATGCAAACAAACATTATTTGACACTGATTAGCCTACGCCAATGTCAGACCAGATAATACCAAACAGTACAGAGGCAATGCAAGTATCAGTGCAATAATAGCTCGGGTTGAGCAGTCATATCTATGGAATACCTTTTTTGGTCCTGGCAAAAAAATAAAAAAATAGGTCCCGTACAATAATTTGTGTTCACGGGCGTGCATTTGGAGCGACGTCAGGGCAACCTCAGCCCATCGTCCTGATCGAGACTACTTTGTGGGAAAAGTCCACAGCTGTCTCCCCCAAAGGAAAGACCGGCCATTGCTCAGGGAATGTGGAATTTCCCCTGCTTAACTCCGGGACCACCAAATGGGATGGCCAATACTGATTTCCAGTTTGGAGGCACAAATCGCCTTGTGAAACAAAGAGAAACGGTCAAGATCCTCCGCTTAGCCCGCAGAGCGTCAGCAGGTGCACGAGTGAGCCACACATCAACGCAGGCTTAGCGATGTGTTTAATTTTGTTTGTCCTTCCCCCGGCACCTCCGACTTAGCACGGTTGGCCACGTGCGGTGTGAAAAGAAGTTCGCAGTACTAACAATGAAGAGGATGGTGTGGCCAGCGCCTGCCTCATTGTTTGAAGCTTAATTGGCTGAGCTGAGGACCTGGCCAGGTTCACATCGCTTGGCACTTTTTTTGCCTATTTATCCAGGAAATCCACACTGAATCATGGGACTTTTTCACGAGGGCCTTGAATTGTTTTTTTTATTTTCAGATGACGTCAGCCAATTAACGACGAGCGTTCATTATACAAGTGGGAGGAAACCGGAGGACAACCCCCACGCGTGTGAGGAGGGGGGGGGGGCAACACCCCGATCCCCATACGGATGTAAACGAATGGCGATTAGTTCACCTGCTGTACTGCCCTCTCCTGGGGAGCCAGGGTATGCTGGTTTATAGACCACGTGCATAGCCAGCACAGGAATCGAAGCTGTGCAGCAGAAGGCGTAGCGCAGTGTGCCAACCACTTTTCCGCCACTGACCTATTGTACACGCGCGCGCCTTTTGTCAGGCCACTGCTGGGATAAAGACCACCCCTTGTCGATCATCGGGGGGGGGGGGGTGGATTGACCATTCTCTTCAGAGCAGGTTGGTGAAAGGGGGTGCCCGGAACTCTTTCGGACATTGCTCACTAACTGATGTTCAAGCCGTGGCCAGGAATTCAACTCGGTGTCGCCGGGGTTTTTAAGCGTCGCGCACTGACCACCATTGCCATGTTGATGCACGACCTTGTCACTCGGAACTTGACCTTGCACGGTCGTTTTTTTGGATCATGTCCACGTTTTTTTGTGTGCTGGAACCAGGTTTTTTTTTTCCTGTGTCCGCCACCGTACAAAAAAAAAATCATGAGCATTTAAACCCAAAGCACATCATCACACCGGTACCGCCAATAAAATGAGCACCGGTGAATTCGGAAGCCAACCGTTGTCGTCATGCGCAAAAGAAGAGGCCCCCGTCGTCCCCATCATGGCAATGCGGATTTTTTTTTAACCTTTTAGCTCAAGGTCTACAGCGCAAAGAAAGAGCGGCACCATTGTTTCAACCGAGCAGCGGGATAAATTTGGCTCGTGCCTTAAATCGAATTAATTCCGCACCAGTCTCCATGGAATTGCACCCCAGACAAACAATATCTGCAGAGAAGTGGGATTCAGATGACCAACCGCAGCCTTAAATAAAATACGGCTTGGCACACACACGCACGCGCGCACAGACCACGGTGTGCAGAACAAATGTTATTCACAAGCGACCTCCGAAATTATGTCTATCTGTAACAACACGTGGTTTCATGTTGTCACCCAGCCCGCTGTTTAAACAAGACAACGGACCCAGGGCATGCACAACCCAGCAAATTATTCCAGGTTAAGATAAATCAATAAATATGCGCGTATATGCCACGTGGCCTTTTTGTTCGTCTCAGCTTGCTACTCAGCCGGGAATACGTGCACAGGTTCGATTCCTGCTACAGGGCGGCTGGGAATTGGAGTCGGGGAATTAATGAAGCACACCGCCTGCCATACCGATCTCACAAATACCGTTCGTGAGACCCCTTTCAGCGTGTTGCTGATGAAGAGTACATCACCAAATCGAACGTGTTAACTGACGCTTTGTATGTCACAACTTCGATGGCGAATTTTGTCGCTGGCCGCTTGGTACTTTGGACCTCATGGCCTGTGCTCAGGATGAAGGCCTTCCACCCCGTCTCACACCATGTCATCATCCCTCATGGTCCTGCAATGCCCCAGTCCATTGCCATGCTCAGCGTGTAGCGAGTTGATGGCCTCGACCGGATCGGCAATGAATGTGCGCCCATCGTGTTAAATTGGAGGGGGGTTTTTGTCACCCCCAATAGCTGCAAAGACTGAACGATTGATTGCCACGCGACAAGCCCTCTCCGCCGGGCACGTGAAAGGTCGTTCCCTGACGCTTGCTCTGCTCTGCGAGGGGTTGCAAATGATGACAACGACGTCTCGTGAATTGGGAGAAAAGAGGAAAAAGTAACAAAAATGACGAGGCAACGCCTGGTGTTGTGCGAATGCGACTCCGACGGGGCTATCGACCAGTCCCCAGAAATCGTCGCGTGTGATTTAAACCGCCGTTGTGATGCTGCGCCGCACAGGAGCAAATACAACCAAAAAATTAACACACACGTCGAAAGCACTTCCGTAAATAGGAAAAACGAGTGTAATAGGTGACGTTCCGTGCCATGACCTCTGCAACATCATCTTGCAGAAGGTCGATCCCTGACACGACGTGGAAGCCACTGGGAACTATGCACTTTTAAATCTAGATTGAAAACTAATTTCTTTGGAACTGCTTCTTGTGTTTAGTTTGCTGTCATTCCCCCCACCCCCCCGCACCTCCGATTAGCACGGGTGGCTACGTACGCGCGTTGCTCGCCGCCAACGTCCCGAACGGAATTTCCATTTCCTTCGGTCGCGTGGCACAAAGCCGGTGGGGGTAAGAATGGGCTGATGAAGTCACAATGGTATTCAGTTGTGAAAAAAGATTAAGGGTGAAATATAACGGTACATGAAAAATGGACGTAAGAGAGAAGGACGTTTGCTTTGAGAACGCGGCGCATGGACGTGGGGGGGGGGGGAGGAACCGCGCAGTGCAGCGAGGCGACGTCAAAGATCACTGCGGAATTTCTTCACCCGAACCAAAACGCCCGGCAACCGCTTGGGGGGGTGGGGGGGTGGTGGTGGGGTGGGAAGCTTCCCCCAAACGCGAGCCTCTCCCCACGGGGTTCATTAAATCAGCGTGTTTGTAGAGCCTTTTAAACCTCCGCGTTCGCCTGCGTCACAGCCACCCCACCACCCTCGCTTTCCCCTCCCCGCAGCGCTCTCCCTTCGCTCGGTCGTGCGCCACCAGCCGGGAATAGACGACCCCCCCCCACCCACCCACCCATGCAAATCCGTTCAGCGCCATCTGCGTCGTGCTTAATTTCCAGTCCGGTGTGTTTGTGTATGGGGGGGGGGGGTAATGTCACAAACGCAGCGGGGACCGTGCCTGTACCACGATGCCTTCTCCCTTCGCTCCATTCCTTTCGCTGAAATTTCACCGTCTGTTAACACTCCCTGATATGGTCGTTCGCGTGCCACCGCACCACCACCAAACTTTACGTTAAAAAAAAAATGTTTTTGAAGACGTCGACCGATTTCCTGCCCGCATCGGTGGCAATACTCCGTCGACGAGCCCCCTAACAAACGGTGTGCAGAGGCCATAACCACCGGAGAGTTGCGCTCAGCTTATCGGCCTCGGAGGGACGAATTTTGGGGGCTTCGAGAACCTTCCGGTCGTGAGCTGCCCCCCTCCACGGCAGCGCCGCGTGACCAGCAAGGAAGAGTAGGCCAACATTGCCGACAGAGGAGTCCCTTTGCAAATGAGTCTATGCTGGCCTCTTGACTTCTCGCATGGTTCAACTGAAAACCTGAACTTGGCCTTGACGTCTCTCGAGTGGAGACTTTTCTGCCAGCAGTGGCAGGAGCATGCAACTGCTGGGCTGCGCTTTTAACTTGTACACTGTAAAAACAAGTAGGCGTATATGAACAGTGGCCTAGTAAGTGCACAAAGACAAAGATCCCCCGAATAGCTTTGAACATACTTTTTGGGGCAAGTGCTGTTCGCGA